TGCTGAAGAATGATGGAACACAGCTGGTGACTTCCAAGATGTATAACTCAGTCTTTTTATACTTTTGGAAACTTGAATGTGTGAGTACTTTGAGGCTAAATTCATGTTGTGTAACATGTTGTAGTCTAATAGTGAAAGTGACTACAGAAGTTTCATTATTTGATAATTCATAACACAGATAGAGCTTCTTCCTCCCATTCTGCTACCAAGTATTCACATCCATTTTGCATGTCTCTTATATATGAGGTGCACAAGCCGTTTCTAGGTTCATACCCCTCTAGCAACAATTCATCTTCAAAAACAAAGGATAGCTGCTATTTTGTGAAAAAAGAATGGCCTACAGTGGCAATTTTCTCATATGGCAAGAAATTGGGCACGCATGAACTCATGGGAATATGTTACTATACTCTTCACATTTACATACTGAAGATCACAGTAAGTACTAAGAAGAATGCAAGCTAATCTAGAAGCATTATGATAAATCCTTACGTATAACTGAGCAAGAGAGGAACTTCTGAAAATCTCAGAAGCAGCATTCCAAAGAGCTCAAATTAGGCACCAAATACAGGCTACTCCAAACAAACAAATATCAACGACTGATTCAAGCTACCTTCACAAACACACAGGCTGAGTTCCCTCGCGTATGACAAGCAGCTTCACATTCCACATTCTCCAGACACGGGCCTTTTCTCATCATATTTGCAGTTACTGATGCATGCTGGCTCTTTCCTACTTGTTTTCCTGTGGCTTCTCTAACAATTATTTTCTCTCTTTCCACCATTCTAAACTGTGACAAACACCTTGAATCACCTGTGTCACAGACCTATAAACTTAAAACTGCATTTTAATACAATCCTCCTTGCAGAGCATCCATACCCAGAGAAGCGATACCCTATTTTTTGACACTGTTTCTCTCTACCAAGGGCTAAAGAGAACAATTTGTGAGACAAGTTTCTGTTTCTAAATCTGCTTACATTCTTCAGAAGAGCCAGAACTGAGATATTAACCATGTGATCAATGAAAACTCAACAGCAGTCACTCAAAAGAATGGCAGAATTCCAAATGTGTTGCTTTCTACCTGGATTGCCCTTTTATTTCAAAGGACTACACAGCAGTTATCGTTGCTGTTTAAGATATTGCCTGTCATGAGATAACCTTCTCATTGTTAAAACATACCTGAAACTGCTTAATCCCAGTAACAGATAACAACAATCATCTGTAAAGTACACTTAAGAATGACGGTAAACATTTGGCAATGAGTTTGGAAAACAGTTTTAACTCACTGCCAGTTAAAAGACTTCACGTTTTGCATGTATATGCAAGATGACACAGAAAGCAACGGTGTAAGAGAAGGCTGTATAGAATTTAGCATGGAGTCTGTTGACTTTACCCAGTCCATCAACTTTTTTGAAAAAGTGAACTATGACTTAAATACCTTATTCAAAATCTTTTTGTTATGTTGCCAATGTGTTAGTGTTTCGAGCTCCAAACAGGTGAAAGCTGACAGCTTCATGCATCTGTGTTTAATGAAATACATTACTATACCACCCACAAAAACTTCTTTATTGTGAAATCTCAGTGAATCATATCTAAAACCACAAAAAATATCCTACTTAAATTACTGAAGTAGTTTAGGGATGAAACTGGAAAATGTGCTTCAGGAGCAACACACTCCAGCTGCAAACAGGTACTTAGTCCCCAAGATTGGACTAAAAATAGTTCAGACAAAGTAACTCTGAAATGTGTACAGCAAAGATGTCAGGTCCTCCATTTCAACTGCTTTGCTGTATGAATCTGCTCCCTGTAGGGCTGCACCAGCCATTAATGTCAACATAGCTGCAAACACACTACTTCCTGACGGGTTAGGGATGTGACACGTGTATTGGTTTTATAAAGTACTGGTATTCCCTACAGCACAGTCCTCTGATATATTTTTTTTAGACTCCG